GTGTGTGTGTGTGTGTGTGTGTGTGTGTGTGTCATAAAGGCCATTGTCCTGAGCTCCAGAAGATAGAGCAGAAGTGAATAACAGAAAGAGGGCCTCTCTCAGGCTCCCTGATGAGAACTGAAGCCCACTAGAAAAGTGAACAGAATCTCTGCAATAAATGCACACTAGACCACCAGGTTTGGTAATTTGGAGGGATCATCACCTCCTATTGGAACCTGGACTACCTTCAGGGGAAAGGCAGCTGGAACCTGCAGTAGAACCTTGCAGTGTTCAACCTTGCAGGAGGACAGGGAGCTCAACTTGGGACTTGAAGCCAGAAATCTGCCTGAATCTCAGGGGTCTGCTTCTGGCTTGCTGAGACTCATTGACTTAGATATGCACACTGCTGCCCACATTGTCTATTGTGACAGCAGAGACATACCCTGAAGGAGGACTTTCATTTTTATTTTTTATATGTTATTTTCAAAATTATTATTATTTTTTGCTCTTAATTTTAATTTTAATTTTTCTACTCTTTTCAATTTTTTATTTTTCTCTTCGTTTTTCTTTTCTCTTTTCTTTCTCTCTCTCTCTCTCATTTGCTCTCTCGCTGTCCCACATTGTTCTTCATCTCCCTTTTTGTGCTTGTTTTTCCCTAATTTAGATTTCTTCTATATTTTTCTTTTCTTCTCTTTTTCCTTCTCTCGATTGTCATTAGTTTTAAAGGAAAGTAAATACAGTTTCTAGTGTCCCTATTGCTGTTAATTTGTTCTGTTCTCATCTTTGTTCTTTCATTCTGTCTTTCCCTTTTGTCTTCAACAGTTTCTTAGAGTTTGCATGATCTTCCTGTGTCCTCTGGCCTCACTGCTAACCTTCCCCTATCCTTCTACCTACCTATTCCTCCCTCCTCAACTCCTTCCAAGTCCCCATCCTGAAGGGTAAAGTTGCTATATTGAACAGTTTATTCACTATAAACATATGTTGGGTTGGTCCTTGATTTTGATTTAATTCACACAGTTAAAGGCTATAGATTAATAACTACCACAAATTGTCATTTTCTAAGCCGTGTTTGATGCTATGGTGTTGCTAATTGTACCACTTGGGCTAAGGTGTTGTGATTGATCTAATTAGTTGTCCTTCCTGGTATAATGAAAATGAGACAGCCTCAGAGTCCTTAGAGACTCAAACTCTAAAGACCAGCTATATCTGGAAGACATCTCTGAGAAGCAGTCATTCCATAAGGGTTCTAAATACAAGCAAAAAAGATACTTACGATAAGCAATTTCAAAGTATCAACCCAGGAATTAAACCAAGGACAGTACCAAAAACAAAAACGAGAAGACTTTTAAGGAAGACACAGTGCCAGGGATTTAGCTCAGTGGTTTCGCCGCCTGCCCTGCAAGCACAAGGTCCCGAGTTCGATCCCCGGTACCAAACAATAACAACAACAACAAAATAAGCAAGGCACAAACTCAGACTTCTACCCCACCAAAAGCAAATTCTGGGGGAAACAAGGTGGAAAAGTCTGATAATCAACCACCTGGACACCCAGAACTGATAGCACAGGAAGTAACAAAACAGATGAATGAGGCTCTAGAAAAATTCAAAACAGAAATAATTTCCCAGATAACTATAGAGATGGTGAGC